CACACACACACACACAGACAACCCCGTAACAATATGCGTCTTGTACTGCTATTACACAGCACAAAATGCATAAAAATGGAATACAATATAAAGAAGCGAAACGTTTTGTTGATGACACAGTAATAAAGAAGAGCAGTGCAAGCAAAGAGAAAGAAACAGGTGGAAAAACACTCCGAACCTTAAGCAAAAGGCCTCTTCCTAACAGCGACTTACAACGGATAAAACAACCAATTAATCTTTATATAGTCAAAAACTCGTGCCGGTGTGACCATGCGATTTTGCATTAAACTTGAGGCACTCAGGCTTTTAACTGTGTGGCTGGTAATCACTTATATTTAGTTTGTGTACTCAAAGTATATATTTGTAAGTTTTACGTAAAGGAAAATGAAAAATTTCCGTTGAACGGTCTTCTTTCAAAATGACCTGGTTGCTCAGCGAGCAGTTTTCCCGCCAAAATTTTCGCATACTCGTAAGTGAGAACCACGCACACCTGGAGGCTGAACTTGGCGCCTTTAAGTTGTACTTGAACAGGGAACATCCCTTCAACATTTCAACCATTCAGTTTCTCTAGTTCCCGAGTTAGCAATTTTTCCGCGAACACTTTCACGTGTCCGTATGCGGGTTTCAAACGTAAATAAAGATTGGTGTAGCAGCCGCGGGATGGCACTTGACTAGGGAACCCACTGGCAGAATTTCTGCACCAAAGCTTGTTGCCGAGTTGAGATATCCGAACAGACACACACACACACACACACATATGTGTATATACACACAAAGACACACACACACACACACACATATGTATATATATACACACACAAATACACACACAAACATGCACACAAACTCCCATTCCTCTTTCGTACTGAGTTGGCTGTTCGTGCCACCGTTTCTAAATGCGAAGTTTTTATACACAGATTTCACTCTACTACCAAAATTTAGCCAAGCTGGCTCAAGTCTAACAACCGTAGTAACTCAACTGTGAGGCAACAGAATGAGAACTAACCCGTAGGAAGGATGTTGTGAGAGCGAAAGGATTGACTGTGCATAGGCAACATCGTATTGGGCAAGGAAAATTAGCTGCTCAAGGGACAAAATACCCATACCGCGGAAATCAGTTGACGGATCGGCACCCTGAAAATTACTCCAAACAATAGAAAAACCTAATTCAAACCTATTAAATCGCACATAATAAAGTGCAATTTAAAGTAAATATTATTCGCAACAACTGATATTTTAAGCATAACGTAGTGACAAATGTCGATACTTTCGTTCTGAAGCTCAATAGTCCGATATAGCCTGATGGTTCCACTTGTTGCAGTAATAAATTAGTAATGGCGCAAACGCGGAGTTGGAAAGCATTGGCGGATCCAGGAGGAAGATGGGAGAGGGGAAGATGATGGGTTCTTTGCCCCTCCTCATCTGGATCCTGGGTATAGGTAGCAGTGCTTAAAGTGAAGAAAACTATCCCCCACCTTTGCTCCCAGGAATCTCACTTTCTTCCTCCTCCTCCCCTGGTCGCTGACGCTAGAGCTGACGAGCAGAAAGCGAGCAGCTGGGCAACTGAGGGGAAGGGGGAGCAGGGGGAGGGGGAAGGGGGAGGGGAATACCGAATGGGCTTCTGATGATTAGGCGAAAGGGGAAGGAAGGGAGAAGAAAAATCGCCCAAATCACCCCCGCCCCGCAGGAAACCCCTGGACCCGCCTGTGACGGAAAGGACCATCAGTTTGTTTAAAAGCAACTCTCGAAAGAGGGAGCCAACTGTCGAGAATCTTGCTAGTGCGGGGTTGCTGTTGGCACAGGGAGAGGGCGAATTCCACGTGCAAAATTGTCAGCATCTTTTTTTTTTTTTTGCGGTAATTAGTTCCAGTTCTGCTAATTGTTTTCTTGCTCGGGACGTAGTTATCTTTACTGCTGCATGAAACCGTGCAAAAATAAATGATCGTACCGGCAATCCAAATGCCAACAACGGTTTTTTTCTTTCTTTAACATATTCTTTGTGCCACTTTTTTACTTAACTTTTAATTATTTAAGGTTAAGTAAAAATCAAGTTGGAAAATGTACAAATGGATGATGGAAAGGTCAAAAAGGAATAAAAAAGGAAAGATATAAATAGAAATAATAAATTAGGTAAGAAATGTTTCGGTCCATTATATTTTGCCTATTTCCTTTCTTTAACGCAGTTTTTTTTAACCTTCTCCAGATAAACTTCGCATTTACTATAGCTCGCTTATAAATTCTTTTGAAGTATACAGTGTACTAATTAGTGAAGTTTTAGTGAGAAGTATAAATCACTGACTTGAAATCCAATCTTTTGCCACTGCTCTGACTTTCGCCCTTCCAAATCCTCATCGGGCATCAGAAGATCCCACAGTTTTAATAATCTGGAAAAAACAGATCATGAAAGGCGAGAAAACTAGGTGATAAGAGGCGGACTCCCCAAAAAACCAGTGTAAAAGAACCGTTTCTCGTGTTGTTCATTTTCAGGATCATATTTTTCTTTGCGCATACTTTCAACAATATCACACAGTTCCCGATAGCCCTGTATTTGACTCAGCGACCTTCGCAATGTATCTTTCAGTTGTTTAAACTGTTTCTTATCAATTCCAGGGCAATATTTCCTGACAATTCGGGTTGCCTGAAAGAAAACTGCATGCCAAATTGAAAATAATCTGTTTATTATTTTTTGCTGCTATTCAGTGGTCCACTCTACACAGAATATGAGATGGGAAGGAAGGGTGGGGAAAGGGAGGGGGAGAGGATGAAAAGGGTAGTCTAATAACAGTACAAATAAATTTACTCACGTCTTCGACATCTTCTTCCATCTCTCCCTTCCCCTTTCCATTAGTTTCCATCTTCTCTCCTTTTCTTCCTCCTTTTTCCGCTTATCCGGTTCTCTCTACTCTCTTCCCTTCTTCCTCCTCTTCTTTCTTCTTCCTCACGCACTGCGACCGTCATACTGACGAGGTCCAGTCGCAGTGTGGAGTTAAGACGTGTATGACTTAATGGACCGAAACGCCTTATCTCACTCTCACCACCAACCTTCGTTACTTCTTCTTGCATTTGCGCATCCTACCATCTGCACTTCTAGGGTTGACCTGGAAGCTGCAATCTACTTACCTGGAGATCGAAGAAGAGATTTCTTCCGTTTTATTTAGATTACAAACTAACAAAAGTATTTAAAATATAGGAAAAACAAGTATCACAGAACTAACAGTAACTGTAAAGATGGGCATTTAACCAAAAAAGCTTATAAACCATATGTCTGTGTATGATTCACGATGAACCTAATTAACGATTTATCTATGCTTTCGTTTTAAGACAAGTAATCCCTTCCTTATTTTTTCTGCATTTCTTTCAGTATGGAAAAAATGACTCCTTATTATGTGTACTTCTCAAACCGGTTGAATCGAAATCGACTAAGCTGGGGAAAAAAACAAAAATAATAATCCAGAGGACTCAAAACTTAACCAAAACAGTAGCAAAAAAAAAAGAAAAATAAATAAAGGGACATAGAACTGCATCAAAAAGTACAACAATGTAAAGGAGGTAAAAATTTAGCACAAAAATGCTATAAAACATAATGTTTGTTGCTCGTCTTGCCAATAGTTGGGGAAATGTGCATTAGTAAGTGGCGCTCCCGAGGAAGTAAACGACTACTCCGGAGACTCAAGACGAGGTATTTTAATTTACTTTTCGTTGTGGTGCTGTGTTGTCTCTTTCTCTTTACTGCTATCTGCAGTTCTTGCCTCGAACTCTTGACTAGTACTTTGGTTCCCCTTCGCCTTCCTATCCCCAATTCCTGCCTTCAGAACCGCAATGAGGTATAGAAGAGGCGATGGATACTCGTTGAAGGTATGCAGCTTGGAACCGAAGGACCTGACATAGTTGCATTGAGCGTATGGGAGCATCCTTATAACATCAATAACAGGAAATACCCAAAGTGACAGCCCCTAGCAGTTTTGGTATTCTCGGTACAGGTTGCAAATTGTGATGATGGGATCTAAGGATGGCTTTTGCTTTGAATCCGACTAAGCCAGCGAGAGATTTATCAAGATAATTCGCAATAAATCATCTACTAACAAGTTCATCCTCCTCATCCGGCTTCCAGTAATCAGGCAACGCGACCAGTTCTCCGTCATCGATCAGCCTTTCTATTTCGGCTGTAATTTGGCCTTGATTTTTTGTTTGCCAGGTCAACTGAAAAATTTGAAAATTCTTAGAATTTGTGATTTATTCCTCCACTACAGATAAGAATACTGTTATAAAAGACGGCGAAAATACTAATTCTAGAAAAGACTATTGAGAAAGCTTCTATATTCTAGCTCTGGTATACCTTTACGCAAAAAAAAAATCAATAAGCCTCATTTCTAGAGCCAAAGAAGCGGTAAAAAAAGCGCCATTAAGAAAAAGTACGGGGATAAATGTCAGGATTACCAGTACGCTGAACATCCGGTGACGCAGTCTCGGTTAAAATCAGCAACACCAAAATTTCTCCCGCGTAAATTCATAACTCGGAGTTCTGAGAAGCTAGAGAGCTGAAATGTTGCGTAAGTTCATAACTCGAGGTTCTGAGATGCTAGAAAGCTGAAATATTGGGGGAGGGGGGGGGGGCATTCCCTGTCTAAGTGGGTATCAACGAGTTCAAACTCGAGAACGTGAGAAGCTAGAAGACTGGAATTTTGTCAACGAATCAGATGAGGTGAAAATGCGCTAAAAGATAAAAAATCTAAAATCTACGCATTTTTGAGCGGTTTAAATACTGCAAATTTACTTACGATCCTTTCGAGCTCACTTTTGCCAGTCGCCAGCTGCATAAACCATTTTACGGCTGTTCGCAGTAGCTGGCTGAGCAGGGCGTAGATATACTGGTAGAAACTTGATGTTGCGCATTTGCCGCACTTCATGGAAATCCCCCCGAATGAAAAGATCTCCGTCGACAACCTGCAAAAAACCATAATAAGCCATTAGTCACACACAACAGATTAATGTCAAAACTCTCTTCATATTCCAGCAATAATTTAACCGACAACTAAAGAAATGAAAATACCAAGAACGCCCGGACAAATCGATGTGGGTATGACATGTTAGTGATGTTACTGGAATGCTTGCAAAGCATTGCGCGCAGCTATGCCAGGTCTTTCGATCCCGAGTTTCGATTCACCCTGCCGTCAAAAGGCGTTACATTTCTGGCAGTCGCCCAGGCAGTGATTTATTTTAAAAATAAATAGCAACGCGCACCAGACTAGCCGATGTGATCATGCGTTTTGTACAA